AAAAAGGTTTTATGCGCTGAACTTGCATATCTCCTCGCTAGAACCTTCCCATTCGTCTACTGAATTCCTCCAGTTTCGTCAAATTTCTGATTGTGTACTCGATCTGAAACATATCGTCAATGAAAATAAGGTTGCAGGTATGTATATTTCTTCCAATTTTTTTATTATTCAAATACTAAGGTCATTAATCCATTTTTTCTCGATAAGTGTAGTTACGGATGCTCTATTTATGGTTCATGTTTTCATCAATCCATTGCGCAATATGCATGTGTTGCCGAAAGCCAAACGGGAAGGCATGCGAGAAGTCAAAGCAAACTACCACTTATCTTTTTCATTCTACTCGATTTTTTGAAGAGTATAATTTCTCTAAACGAGCGTCTGAGAGCACTTGCAAAAAAGAGTTCGCCTGCCAGAATTCCCTAAATTATGGGGAAGAGAAATTTGCAGATTACAGTATGCTTGTGAGATTTTGAACATCCAAGACAATTGCTGTTCAATTTAACCAGCTTTTTCTTATTAGACTGCGATTATTACATGCTAACCCCTAAGAAAGCAAGATTTCCGCAAAAATTAGACACATCAGGATGAATAACTCACAATCATTTGCACATAAATAACAACGTGAAGCTATCCATCCTTCTATGTACTAGACTGCTTCTTTACGAGACCTCGCTCAAAAGAGAAGAGCTCAATGCTGTGGATAAGGGTTGGGCTTGCAGACTGTAAAATTTATACGCTCCGCATCTAGCTACTACTCTTTCTCTGGTATCGATCAATCAAAAGTAAATGAAGTCTACAAATCGGTAGAGGAAGCGAACTATGACAACGACCCTGCCAGAAGAAAAATAAGCGAAACGGGTCAGTTCTCGGCTGCACTGTCAGTACCATGGGCGTTGGCATCGATGCACAGCACCGAAGGATAACGGCATTGTTACTGGCCTACTATAAAATGGCACATAACAGAACCTTTCTCATGTTTGTATTTACCAAACTATGCGTTTTCTTCATGTATTCGAATAAATTGAATGAAATGGTATTCCAGATGCCGTTCAAATCTACCATACAAACAGCTCTCCGCAAGATGTCCAACTCTTACAGGAAGGTTAGTTTTAGTGTGGATGAAGAACAATCTACCAGTTAGAGTTAAATCAATCGAATAAGTGAAATAAGGCGCATCTGTTAATGAGACTTACCGAAATTAATTTACAGGATCGGCAGGATACCGTACTGTTAGAGCCTCCATATCTGGCTCTGCCAACCAGTCCAAAGCGAGACGAGTAAGTTGAATACCAGACCATCAGCTTGTTAGCTTGAAAATATCATATTATTTTCTACTGATGTTATATCCTTTTACTACTGGCTTTAATATTCATTGCGTTCCGCCGCTGTAAATTTTTTTTATCGAACTTTCAAAAAATCGAAACAAATATATGGCCAGCACCAAAATAATAACGAACTGAGTTAGAAACCAAGGGAGTCCACATGAGCTCATGAGTTCATTCTGTACATTCCACCACAAATTTATGACAGAAAAAAGGATGAGAATATTTTAGAGTGTACTATATAATGGACGACTTCGACAACGCGACAATAACTACCTACGATTATGATGCAGAGAAAACCTACTACGAAGTAAGTTTTATATTACCGACATAGACAAAGCTATGGAGACCTTCTAGTAAGAGACTTTTCTAAATTTCTTGTGTGCTTCTATTTGTAAAACCTACCAATTCAATGAGTATGATAATCCATTACGGATAACATTTAATTTAGTGAGGCTTGAGTTCAAGTCTTGAGTGTGCGGTAGAGGCAGCCGAAGTAGCCACCACATGATTCTACGGATTGTAGTTCAACATTCGAAGTTTACGAGTCCTCGTGGCGCTAACAAACTCGTCCTGCATGGTCTATAACTACTGTACCGCTACAGCTTAACCGCTCAGTGAACTCGCTAGTTTTCTTTTACCTTTGAGCAGATTACAATCTTTGCGCGAGCATTAATCACTGATTTATCAGGGAAGATAGTGATACGAAGGGTATAGAGAACTCGGAGACGTAGTTCTCGGCCTTTTTTAAACGTTATCTATTTGCATATGAGTGCAGCCAGAAATAGTTCCTCAGCAAAAGTAATTGGTATGAGAACATAACGCCTTAAAGTTAAAACCTATAATTTCCGAGTCCAGTTAAAGAATTGTAAAACTCACATTTCCGGCAGTTTTGCGAGAAACGCGATGAATTGGTAATACCAATATACATAAAGATAAAAGTAACGTTAATGGCATAATCATGCCTACCTCCACCCTTATTTCTTGTTGGTTGCCACGTTTTTTGCCGAGCCTTGTTGGAAAACATATGGTCTAAGACACCATATAGGAAACAGCAAGGTCTGAAATAAAGAGTAGGCTGGAAATAAGTGTCTCAGTTGAGAAAGCGAAAAAAATGGACACGGTTTTGGATAGAAGCTCTTGTTGGTAAGGAAATGAGTGTGGCCTGTGGTAGGTGTGTTCGTTAGAAACACCTCATAGCTGACCTTAAAGAATTCTTAATAAACTTTCAGAATGAAACGTTTTACGAAGCTAAATCAGCGCCTACACCGATTCGACGGTCGATCAAGCGGAAGCATTCACCGATTACGGTTAAACCACTCACATCCTTGGAGGTAATAGAAATTTCAAGAAAATTTGAGAGGCTTCAAAGATTGTTTATGCTGTTCTGACATCGATTCAATTGCAGCCTCTACACATGTCAACGCCACATTCCTTCTGTGAAATGGATCACTCGCCACCGGCAAAACGAGCACCGATACTGAGGAGGATCCCTCTGAAGCTGGTTAGTTATTTCCGTGATTCAGAGTGTTAAAAAATAAAAAAGCAGAAGTGGTCATCTCATAAAAATTAACCACCTCAACCAAATTCCTCTTTCCAAAAGCATTTAAACGATGCTTGCGTTTATTTCTGAGTGGGGGAAGGTCAAAGTAGGTTGATAGTCGGAAGAAGGAAAACAAAGTCGCAAAAAAGAAGCCTAAGACTGAAATCAGTGTCACAAAAAAGCTAAGGTAAGAGGATAAAACGATAACCTTTCACCTCTGAATTTGTATATTCCTTAATCCTAAAATAAACAGTCCTGCAAAACATACTTTGATAACAAAGTCAGTACAATGATTATGAATTACCACGCATAGTAGCTTCAGTTCAAGGGATACGTGTGTGGGTACGTCTCCCCGAAAAACCTGCTCGCCGCACCCGATCGCGCGCCAAGAAGCGGGAAATTTGAATTTTCAGTGGAAGGATACGGTAGCCCTCGCGGAGCTAATGCCTTTGCCTTAGAATTCGTTGAGAAGCCATGACATCCAGAGATCCCAAATGAGACTGTAGCAGAGTAAAGTAGAATGCAGCTTGTTCAGGTAGCAAGGATGCTGCGAAATATCATGACAGAGCTTCGAAACCTTTAGGATTCCTTAGCTCATGAACGAAAAAGTAAACCAGGCAAGCGTTACAAATAAAAAGGAAGTAGTACTAGCAAAATTATGGGAGGAACAGAAAAGAACGAAGGGGAAGGATGAAGCGCCAAGTGTAACGTTCTGACTGTAGTCAACATACCTTCTGCATTTGCTGCATTCATAGTAGCGTCGTCAGCTGTGCCGTAGCTATGAATTGGCGCCCTCAGAGCAAAACGCCGCGCTCCTTTGTCGCTCTACCTTAGAAGATGTTAATGGAGTAGGGGATCTTGTATTTCAACTATTCAGATTAGGAATAAACAAATACTTCCATAGAGAGGTCCTTTCTTTTGATTTGAAGTGTAAATAATATTCAGGACATCCCACTGCAACATCCGCCAGCAATTCCTCCGAAAGAACACGAAGAAGAACATTCTTATATGGAACCTATCTGTCACCGGATAAAGGTATTTATTCTAGTAATTAGAAACCCTAGTTTTAAAATTCAGTTTACTTCTAAAACTAGCAACCTAGGACTCAATATATCGACGAGTTTCAGCATGGTTTCATCTACACAGTGGTAATGAAGGCAATCGAAGAATGACATCGGAATTCCAGTGACTGGTCATCTCAATTTATTCCCCATCTTTTCCTCTTGTAATTAATCTCAGATTTTTTCTGCAATCCTTCACGTTATAGGATGAAAAAGTAATGATATATAGTAGGATATTGATAGATATAGTCTATGTATATTTCTAAAAGTGCTTAGCAAGTCCTGTGCTAATTCACTGACCTAGATGCCAATTTCTCCGTCTTGATAACATTTTTAAACATGACTGATTGACATAAATGATTGACAAATAATGCAAAAGCGAAAACTTCATATTTGCGTTGATTCGATGGTTACATACACGTTTGATAGGGGATGATGTGATCGATTCCATTATGGAATTGCTCACAGGTGGCTCCCCATGTACACTGCGAATATTGAGGGTTCTGAGACTCTCAGAAAGCATGGATAGTGTGGGTCGACATGATTTTCAGAATGCTCATTCCATTCCATTCCACTCTATTACTCCCAATTTCGAAGCCAAGAAAAAGTTGTGAAAAAACAAAAACTAAAGGTTGAACCTGGAGCTGAAGGAAGAAAGTTTTTCGTCCTCACTACCGTAATTTGAATTTGATTCTTTCTACTCAACTGAACTCTCCTTGCTCCCTAATGATAATTAATGGAGAAGGTGGAGAATCAAGAAGGCAAAAGCCAAATTTGAATCAATAAAGAGAGTGCCTAAGCCTGTAGGGGGAGACGGGCACTTGAATCTATCTCGTGTAATCGATTCGCCGCGCGCGGCATTCGCAGGCTAGTTGCCTCGTCACTGCAGTTGCAGCATTCTTCATATAGCTCGATCGCGATGCAATTTTTGTTTTTTTGGCATGGTTTTCGCTGTACTTCCTTTGTTCCTGTATTGCCCCATACTATTATAGATACGCTGCATCTTTTTCTGTCTGCAACATTCCTACGTGCGCGACGCTGCTCTCGCCGCAAAGCGACCATTTTGATTTAGCTGCACCACACCCGCCAGTGGACTGCACCAGATTGGGATGGAAAGATGATCCAACACGCGACCGATCAACCAATTGCCAGCTGTTACGGCCAATTGGCTAATTTACTGATGCTCAGGATAGAAAACTATTAATGTAATCGGTGTACTTTGACACCTAATGAAATGTACAAACCAATGTGTAAAAAAACTTTACTAAAAAGCTACTAGTAGCTAACTATGTGTACAGCGAAAGCATCGAGAAGTCGAATGGATCCATTGAGGGCAACAGAGAAGAACGATGGGAAACACTAATTGAACAGTACTGCTTATTCTTAACAACTCTCACTTTAACACACCAACGATCGACGATCAAAGAACAGGACCGACGTCTCATTTACTTATAGAAAAAATTGAATAGAAATGAATGCACGTTCTCGCAGCATGAAAAAAATGAACAAAAGTAACTTTGATCGTTGAGAATAGCAATTATGTACAGAAAAAATATGTATACTATATATGAATGTCGGGGGTAAAACTAAGAATATAAAATAAACAACTCTCTTGAACTATCGCAAGCAATACAAATAATGATGATGACAGAATAACGTAAAGAACATGATTATTACATACACAAACACACAGGCAAAAATAAAAATGAATAGAAAAAGAATCATTAACAGACCAGTCCTACAGTGAAGGTAATAGCCTCGTAAGGACGCAACGAATATTCTCAAGTCAATCAAACTATAAAACTATACAATATATTAAGAGGGTCATGGTAGATGAAGCAGAGGGATATTGCAGCTTCTCATCAATCAATACACTACTGATTAAACAGAGACCGGTTTTACAAATAACAATATAGTGGGGTTACAGCCACCTACATTGAAGGATGAGAAACCCGACGTGAAGGAGAGCACAGCTTGTGTCAAAGATAAATGTTATAGGTATATTTGCAAAGATCCCATTCGACTAGCGAAGGAGGTCAAGTGCCCCATACTTTAGAGCTTTTTGAACCATGGGTCTCCCGGATCGCGGGGGGACGTAGGTTTCATATGTATTAATGGAGGCACTAAATGCTTTTAAGACGCGTATACGATGCACATGAAAAGAACACACAGTAACCCGTGCGGAATATACACCGAATTCCACGTCAGGATAATGAAGTATATGGGTAAAACATAGTCGATTCCGGTCTAATTCAGACAAACGTACCGCTGTGATCGCTTCACCAGCATGGAACCGCATCGAAGCTTCACAACCAACGACCGTGCACGTCCGAAGAGACGTGGGAAAATGGGAACCAACAGGCTGGGAAATATCATGTTGCACATTTTTCTCAATATGCACCGGAAGCAATCAGAAAATGAGAAATAATTGATAGAACTGTACACAGCCCAATGAGACAAACGGACAGGCAGAGAAATTGATGCACACATACACACCTACAAACTGAGTGAATGATGACTGAATACCGGTGAGCTTTGTAACAATCGGTTGAAGTATAAAGATGAATAATAGAAGATTCGCAACATGATAAACACAAACAACAATTCATCGTAAAGAAAAGAAAGAAAGGAAATAATGATGAAAATGAAATCAATAAAGAAGAACGAAAATGCTAATTGGGACGTTCACCTGCCGGTCATCGAGAATTCCTTTCTTTCTTCCCATTCATATAAGAATCATCATACTTAGAATAATTCGATCCGCTTGAACCGACTGGGCGTCACGTTTGCATCAAAAGGCCGAACCGTCGGCGACACGGCTGCAGGTGAGAGAGCCGATTCGTCGGTAGGTGTCGCTCCACCGGGTGGTGTGCAGGACGGGCTCGACACTGTCGAAGAGGGTGAATGTGACAACGAAACTCGTCGCACCCGTCGAGTCAACGATTGAAGATCTTCAACCACTGAACCAACAAGCGTTTCTTCAGCTGGGGTAGATGGATCGGTAGGCAAGCTGAAAAAAGTGAAGTAAATATACAAGAAACAATACATACTGACACGATGTTCAATTGGATTCAGGCACAACTGTAGCGATTTACAAGGCCATTTCATCCCCACTTAATCGCTTCTGCAATTCTACAAAGAAAGAAGCTCAAAAGGAAAGCCTAGGTACCATTTCCAAGGACAGAACCTTAGAGCTGACGCAAAAACTTGCTGGGAATCGCACAACGGAATCAACCATTCACGATTCAGTACCGGGTCTCAAATCGTGAATGAAAAAATCGGTAATTTCTTTCTATTTGACCTATGAACTGATGATCTCCTCTTCCCGTGCTTCCATGTTACTCGCGTTCCCTATTTCTATTCCAGATATCTGAAGAACTGTTCTCTTGCTAAATTTCTCGTCTCCTGAATTACTACCCCATCAAAGGATCCTACAGTATAGCTGCAAAACAATGACAACATCCTCTCTTTACTCACCTGTCATGAATTTCGCTGGCCATTCGCTTTAGCTGATGCGTAATACTGACGAGTTCTCCAGGTGGATTCGAGTGAGCGATTATTTGATCCACCAGCACTCCGCTTGCAACCATCTTGAGCACGTCCAGTCCGTATCGTTCCGCTAGCAGCAACATTTTCTTCGTGAAATCGGAATCTGCCGTTTCCTGAACAACAGTGAATAATGGGTTATCTCCCTCTCTCTGGATAAGCTCAAGAGAGAAGATCTGATAACACCCTTGTGGGAGAATAGACTTCAGCTTCTAGCACTTCGATCAGCACTATGATGAGCTATCACAGTCATCTTTTTCTTTCTTTTTTTCAGATCGATGATGCTTCTCTAATCGTTCACTTTCTTAAGCAACCTCATGTGTATTTAACTAAGGCCCCTTCCAACTTTATGAGGAACGATTATAAAGGGCAAGACGATTTGTTTACTGCCAATCGACCTTGTCGAAATAATCGCTCAAATTCGCTTGTTTAAGTCTTCTCTGACGAAAAATCTTCTGACATGAAGTCAGCATCTTATCACCTAACGGCATTCACTATTAAACAGAGACTGTTCACTTCAAAGCTCTAGTCAAGAAAAGTCATGTAAAGAGCTGTTGACAAGACCACGCGTCATTTTTTTAGACGTCTGTCACTAGCTGGATTCCGTCTCCCCCTCTGGCTCACTAACGAAAAGTGGTGTTTGAAAGTTGGAAGAATATAGGCCGTTGACAACGAAAGTCAATGACATCACATCATCGAAAACCCTCATGTGACTCTCTTTTCCGCTTACCATATGATTGGATGATTACTGCTTGGCGTTTAATATCAAGGTAAGGAATCACGAAATCCAGAAAAGTTCCCTTCAATGTGGCCGGCGATCCCGTACATTAAGGGCTTGCGGAAATTGGTTTTTTCAATGTTCGGACCATTACAGCAGGAGCTACGTGAAAATATGGTACTAGAGGGTGCAGACGATACGAGGACAGTTGGGTCATCGCATATGCTTTCATTTTAGTGCATTTTCACTCGTTTTGGATCTTATTACATCTCTCCTAACATTCCCCTTGCAGGACAAACCATACATATCGATTGCTTTGCTCTGGGCAAACATATATTTATTACTAACTAAATTATCAATTATTATAATATAACATTACACTACCAAAATTGTCGTATGTGCACTGTCTTTAATATGGTCGACTTTATTATACATTCTGTCATTCTTGATATGGCTGTGTAATATGCCACCATACATCAGAGCCATATTCCATGGCCACATTACGTCGAATTGTTTTATTGAATTGCCTTGTTTTCAAAAAATACCCTGGTCGACCTTGACCATAAAACGTCACATATCGGTTGTAACTACATTGC